TACATTCTCGATGAGTCCTGCGTCATTAAACCGTAGAATTAACGATCGCCATTCTGACACACCGTTATTGAAATTCTTGAAACATTCTAACACGAACTTGTTCTATTAAATAGAAATTTTCTGGGATAACCGTGCGCTATACTTGTTCAATCTTAAATCGTGTAAAATCGTGGATCATTTTTTGGATGCACAGACACTCGTTGTGCGAGGAACTATATTCGTACCATAATTCCACGAAAGATTGCATTAGATAAGATAAGATAGAGCTTACATACCACTTGACAAATCACTTTTACGTACACTGAACGTCTTCTTCCATTGAAAAACTCGTACCATATTCACCCATGCGATTTGTTTTTGATGGATCATCAGTACACTTAGATGTCTTCATTGAAATATATTTAATTTCATTACATGTCTTTATAAATATTTAATATATAAATAATATTATGTATATACACAATTATAATAATCACTTAATCATAATTTAATAAACAACTAATCGTTATCCATACCTATACTTCATCTATCTAAAATCTAATTGAATAAGTGATTTGTAACATCAGAATGATGTGTCTGAATGCTTGTTTGTCGAAAGAAATTGGTCGACCAATCCCAGGGCTAGTTGATCATCACGTGTCGTAAAATCTACATACGTGCGCGTTCTATTATGTCGCAGGCGAACTGCTTACAGAACTGACGTCTAAGCACGATAGTTGTTTCTTTCATACGAGAAAACAAAGGGTGAAGGTTGACTGGTTGATTGAACGTAATCGCGCAATAATCTTAAAATCGTGTTGTCGCCAGGAGGATATCAGGCTTTGTTTCCAGGATATTTCGCTGGTAGCTTGAGACACGGACGTCACATGCTAACCTTGGGTCGGTTACGAAGAGTTTACTGACCCATATTGTTTGCTTAAGTGGTATTACAGATCATTGCTACCGTTTCGCGAAGGACACTCGCGATTTGCATGCTCCAAATGCAATTTTAATGTCACGTTCAGTTCGCACGCGTTGCGAGACACTTTAGAAATCGATTTTCTCATTTTTCAGAGTAAATTAGAAACTTCCACTCAATCTTCATCATTTTTCATCAAGATTCATCAATACTCGCCAGTGTCTATTAATCTTCTACTATCGTCACCAATCCTAATCAGTTTTCGCCGAAATTCACCAGTCATTGTTCATATTAATAATTCTTCATTATACTTCGCCAATATTTATCAGTACTCATCAGTCTTTATTAATCTTCATGTGCCTTCACCAATCTTCACGAATCATCATCAATCGTCAGCAACCATATACCATACGTTTCCCCAACCACATACCACATCATTAAGATTAAAACCTATCTTAACTACCACATTTATCTAACTGTACAAGAAGATAAGAAACTATTAACGTAACCACAGTATTTGATTATCTGTCCATAAATCAACCGAAACGAGGCTACGGAAATATTAAAAACCCGCTTACGTAACAAGGTTTTTCTCATCGATATACAACGTTTCGCGGGCAAACAACAAAGAATTACCATCCTCGGACAGCGTTTCAAATCAATCATCCGCCGTACGATTTCTCATCGCTCATTTCGTCCAGGGAATTCTTCTCGCGAGAAACGCATCCTCGGCCATACAAACGCATACAAACGATCGCCGCGTCCCGCTCGACGCGTCAGCGTGTTTCGATTCTCTTCGGTTCGATCGTCGATCCGTTCCCGTTCGTACCGTTAATCGAAAGAGGCGATTCATAACTAGAAAGGCTCGTTAGGAAAGCGAGTACGCCTCGTTATTCGCGATTATTTCGAGTTGATTGACCTGTCCCGACGTATCCAGCGAGCCTGATTTCTGGTGCGTTACGGTTTGCTAATCGTTTCGCACGACCGGCTGCCATTGATACCGCGATACCTGTGTGGTTAAGACACTCTCCCTGTGTGGCCTCTGGCTCTCTCTTTCTCTCTCTCCCTTCTCTCTCTTTCACTCTCTTTTTCCCCGGCTCGACACACTCGGGCCCGCATTCCCTGACGCTGCTTTCTTTTTCCTCGGTTCCGCTTCTACCCTTTCCGCTCTTTTCATTTTTATTTTCGTTTCCTCGTCTTCCTTTGGTTTCGTTCGTCTCTCAGCGTCGTCTGCCATAGTCCTCGGGACGTGTCCTCCAGCTTCTGCTACGGGGTTCCTGTAAATGGTTATCCGCGGCGCAAGCTCGCAGTCAGGTTGCTCACACGCGTAATAATTACACGTGCTCGCATCCCCGGTCGAACGAGGCCCTATTGTCCTGAATAAGTTGGCGTTGCGAGGTGTTCGCGGGGTTTTATGGCGAAGAATGATTCACGAAGTGGGAGGAAAAGTGCAGAGCGGTCGGGGGTGTTTCGACACCGTGGGTGGAGAGATCGATCGATCGATAATGTCGAGGAAAAGGAACGGGAAGGTGTTAAAAGAGTATTCTCGGTTTGGAGATTTGAATAAATTAGTCTTTTTCATCATTTTGTTGCACTTTGAAGTTCATTTTCATGATTTTTTTTCAGCTGAAGTACTTGACATATCTGGTAAATAATGACGTATGATTGAAGTAAACTATAACATAGTTTTGAAAGAAATAATTTTAATTATAGTACATGTGGACCTATCTAGCTTTTGGACACTAAATGTATGTACATATGTTTAACTCTGTTATATGTGTATTATAATCTATTTCCATGTATTATACTTTTTACTCGCGTCATATTTTCTTTTTATTTATTTGTTCATAATCCGTTCCGTACTTATAACTCGAAATGAAACAATTGTGCAAAAGCAAATTAACGTTTTGCACAGTCTCCGCAAACCGTGTACTTATTCGTTAAATGAACAATGCTCTTCGATGTTACGTTATCATTATCGAACGATGAATCATTGGATTGACCCAAATTCTGGTTATTTAAAATAAAGATATTGCACAATCTCGCGAAACGAGATTGCACGGTACATCACCTCGAATCATTCAAGAAAGAAATCTAACCGAAACTTGGAAGATGAAAAAATCGAAGGGTTCGCTCAAGAACTGTCTGACAGATCTTTCAAGTGTCCAGCTACTCTTCAAAGTTTCTGTCACTTTTCAAGAAGCCCCATCTGTCTAACTTTTTCATCTTTCAACATTTCGGTTGAGCTTCTTGGACACTTGAACCGAGAGCTAACTTTGGATTTATGAAATAGTGGTTTCAAACAAGATTCGTACAGTGGCTCTTTTATGATAATAAGAAACAGTGTTCAGCGGTTAGGTCATTCATAAGTATCCTTGAATTTTAATCAAATTCCGAGGTCCGAGAACCGGAGGAGCTTCGAAGATGAAAGTCGACGCGTACGAATGGGAGACGAACGCGATCGACTGGCCAGCATGAAAGGATAAGAATGCAGGCACCTGGGCGCACAAAGATCTTTTTCATTCCGGCGTGGCTGCAGGCGGGAAGATTTCAGAGATACTTTCGACTTCCTCGTACTGAAAGGTACACGACCTCCTGAAACGACTTCTGGAATCGGCCGGCTCTGCTCGAAGCACGTGGTTAACTGGACCACGAGGCCGCGACGGTACCGTTAAGCACGCAGTCGGCAAAAAGCCGAACCATGACCAAAGCGGGTGTGTATGCTCGTTGTTGGCTTCTTTACAGCTTCGAATTTCCTGCTCAGGCATCGCCCCGGCTATTGTCGGGACCTGGCGACGTATTGTGTCATTCGGGATGGATTGACCTTGGATCCCATGATTTCCCCCTGTCGCGCTTTTTACCACCGAAGGCGGACGAAACGATTTATCGCCTCGCCGAGAGACGAATGGTGGCGTTTAGTGGCCTTTAGTGGCTTTCTTGGGGGAGCTGTTTCATATTTGGTCATGTAACGTACGGTTGCTCGCTTTTTTAGTAAAAATCGACGAGTTCTTTCTTCGAATGTTACGTTAAAAATATGTAAGATGCACAATTTGTTGTAGTAAAGCATTGTTTGTATTACAAAAGGTGAATGACAACAATGAAAAATATATTACAGAAGGTAAACCGTTGACAGATCACATAAACAACCTGTATCGTCAAATATTCTAGGAAATGTTCGATTAACACGATATCTCGGCTGCCACACCTTCGAGCAAACAAACAACCTAATCCGAGACAGAGAGACCTACAGAAACTTTAGATTATGAAAGATCGCCCTTACGCGCCTCTTATGCCGACAGATTGCGCAACGATAATAAGTATCCGCGACGGGACGCTAATGAATTATAAATATAAAACGCGCGGAGGCCAATTATGTCTTCCGGTCTTCAATTAACATTTAGACGCAACGATGTATGATACGTTTAGGTAACGATCACGGAACGATAGGCAACAGGTTTGCTTGCCATGTCGAATCTTATTGTCGTAATTCCGCGTAATCACCGGACCGAACTGGGTTGCACAGTTATTAAAGAAAAAGGGGTGCATTTTTACCGCGGATAATGGCGGCAGGTGTTTTTTGGATGTAAGGACACGGCGCTCTTTGAACTCGAGGTGAACCAGCGGATGGACGCGTATTAGCGGCAAGTTGATAAATACGAAAGGACATAGCTGGACAGGAATCGAGGGAAACCTAGCGTGCGTTCAACAATCATAATCATCGCGTAATGACTTTTCGCGGACGTGCGCTAGGTGGCTATTTTCACTTGCATGGTTTTCATGGCGTGAGTCATGCTAATGGCCCTGTGTGCACATTGCGAGCTGTTTTCCAACGTCTCCCTTTCGCAATCGAAGCATTTCCTTCGAGGATGTCGCGTGATGCAATGAACGTCGGTTCAGGATGCATTTGTATAAATAGAATAAATGATCGTTGTTCGATAGGGGGACAGTCCTTTTTTTGTTATTAACCTGTTGTCGTACGTTCGATTTCTTGACTATTCTTGTTATATCAAATTAACGTAAGATATGAAAGGAAATTAAGTAAATATTCTTGTACGTTGCACTGCTAGAGCATTAATAAAATTAATTTTGTCTTGTTTTGCAGATGCTCCCGAAAGCACGGCGCTGCTGAAGCCACGTCTGGTCAAACAAGTCGTAAGTATCTCGTTACAAATATTTGTACAGATAATCCTCCTACGAAGTACATCTAAGGACTTCTCACAATTTTATTTGAATTGCATAGGCTCTATTTAGCATTTTACAATCAATTACATTTTTTAATTGCGGAAAAATTATGTGAAATGATAGGAATGGGAAGGTGTCAGAGTCTCTAAATGGACAGATTATCAGGTGTTCTTTTCTCAGCGTCAAAGAATCGTGTATTGTCTAGTAAAATCTCTCCGAACTCATTGGCCATGACCTGACGCCACCCACGCGACCGAACAAGACACTCGAAGACTGCTTTGCGCAGTACGTAACTACTTAAGTCCTATTAGCTGTTGCGTCTGTTTGCAAATTAGGCGCAGAAGTTGTCAGAAGTGTCCGACGCTGTGTACGCATGTGTCTGCACGCGTGATTTGGACATTCGATCCGATGGAATTACGCGACAGCCAAGCGTACAGATTTCAATCACACAATTTATGGCAAATTTGTCTTTTAGCCGCACGTCACGCACAGTGTTTACCTATGGGGTAGAGTGCTTCGTTCATATAAAGGCTTCAATGTTAAAATGCTTCGATGCAAGTATGCTTAACTGCTAATCAGTGACCTTTCCGTTCTAGGGTTAATTGCGACTATAATTGCGAATATTAACATAAAGTATTCGGAATTAATATATTGAAATTGCTTGGGTAATAAAAAGTCTTAACAGTTATGTTCGAGGTATAGAATGTGACCTCTAGTGGAATAATGCACATAACTTGAACATTTCTTTTCATTAATACGTTATTAACTTCTTTTCACGTTAATATTATTTTCTTTTATTAATACTTATCTCGCTCATCAAAGTTCAACGACTATTCGAAAATCTTCTTCGCGCGCCACTTTGAATCCACCACGTACATATTTCCATTGAAAGCCACTGCTACAAACTGACAAATATATTTCTCGCGTGCGTACACAATTTCCTCGAATAAAGTTTACATCCTAACCGCAAATACTTGACGAACGATACGCCGGAATGCGAACTGTTCACTGAACACGCACATCTGCCATCCGAGACGTTTCCTAGTATTTTCCATCGGCTGGAATGATCCCACGAGACACTGCGTACATAAAAATTGTCACAAACGTGAGAACACGCGATGGTTCATTTGCTACATTGTACGTCTCGCGTGTAATGAGAATGTAATTCCTACATGCTAATTTGCAACGTTAGATGCGAATTGCGTCACCAGCTCACGGCGTTGCGGTGTTAAGAGGAGATCTGGATCAGCTTCGGTCCGTACTTTGCAGAGCTATAGTAATTATTATTCATTTTGCCGCGACGCGTTTGCATGCGTACCGAAATCCATCTCGACTGGTGTGCCATTAAATTTCGAGTTTCTCAAAGTTCATACCAAGCCAAAATTTCCCAATTTTCCCACTATTAAGAGGGCACAACATCGTAAAGTTTTTTTTTTTTACAATTCGATTTCATTTTGTTACGTTTCTGGAAGAATGTACTTTTCAAGAATATTCTTTGAAATTTGAGAAAGAAATTTCAAAACGATTGGCAGCTTTCTGAGAAAACTGTTGATGTTGTGTCTCCGTTGATACTCGAAGCATTAAGAAAGTACAGACAGAAAGAATCAATCCCTTTTCACCTCGAGAGTAACAGACACCTTTAGGGTGCGCATGATGCGTGACAGCCACGGCAGCGATCGACGCGATTACCAGTGATCAGGGGAGTTCAATGCTCGGGCATTCCCGTGAAAGATACGACGACGTTTCCTTCTTTTATCTGGTGACCGCGGTATATAGAAATTACCAATGACGTCACGCGTAAAGTCCGGACCGGTGGAAGGTATGCAAAATAATGCAAATAACGCGCCGAAAGTAGACGGCCTGCCTCGAGTCTATCTATGTTTAGAACGAACGTGATGGCGGTTGAAAGTGGCATTTAAAGACACGTAAAAGAGTCACCGCTTCAGCGTCGTTATATTTTCCTCTTTCACCGACGTGCTCGCGGCCTCGAATTCCTCGAGGATGGTTCGTTAGTTTCGGAGCAGACGGGGATTTTCTTTTGCTTTCGTTTCCATCGAAGTTGGCTGTGAGTCACACCTGGTGGGTTCGCTTTTTCGTGTCAACAACTCGCCGCCTTCCGATTAGAACTGAAACACACTGGTCCATTTCGTGCGGAATGTTAATCCTCTACAGGCGCGCGAAAAAGTATCCGACCGTCCTGTATGCATTGCATAGTTTGTATATTAGGAAACCACGAGTCTGGAGCTAACTGTTTCGATTCATTTTTCGTACAAATTCTCGTTTATTTAGTTTAAATATCACCGTTGTGCAAGTAATGACACTCCATTTTAAGTAAGAGTAACTAACAGTACAATTAGATACTATTGGTTCTTATCGCTACTGCCATATTGAAAATCGTTAAGCCAGAGATAGTATCGATACTCTAGCGATTGTTAAGATAACCACGTATCATATATGAGCCTTGCAATCGTACGAATCGTGATATTTCTAGAATATCGAAGCAATAGGAAGCAGAGTCATGGACTAGAATATTTCGTGCTGCTAATTATTCCATAGTCTACAAAAATTGAATTAACTATATCCAAGTTGAATTCTCTGCACCGTGTAAGTTGCTTAAAATTCAGACCTCTACGCCTTTTAGAGTCTCCAGTAAAAAACTGACTGAATTTTCTCAAAGATCCTCTTCGTAGCCCCCAGAAACATACACGGCCACGATTTAATTCCAGTTCGCTTGCCATTTCGCAGGTAAATCAGATCAAAAGATGCAGACAGCGCAGTTTCTGCCATCGTTGCTCCTGATCGTCCTGAGCTGCTCAGGATTAGCTAACGGGCTCTGCCACCTGGAGAACGGTACCGTAGCTCGTTGCCAAGAGTTGAACGATGTCAAGTCCATCGATATCCAAGTCGATCTCCTCGACACATTGGAGGCCCGCGTGTTGGAGTCCGTTCTCCGACCAGGTCTGCTCGAGAACCTGACCAGCCTTCGACACCTGGACCTCTCTGGAGGAAGCCTGAAACGAATAGAGCCTGGAAGCTTCCAACATCTGGACAACCTCAGAAGCTTGAGTCTCGCCGAGAATCGCATCGGACGCTTGGAATTCAACTCCACGGACGGCCTGAAACACTTGCACAGTCTGAACCTGCGGAAGAATAATTTTCATCAGCTACCCTCCGGCTTGGACCAATTAAAAGCTCTCAAGCACTTGGATATTCACGGGAACCCCCTGCAATGTAACTGCGCGACCCTTCGCGCGAGGGACTCGCTCATCGATAGAGGCGTGAAAATCTCAAAGAAGATTCTGTGCTTTGGTCCGAGCACCATGAAAGGGACATCTCTATTCAAACCAAACGCCACGGTCATCTGCAACTTCGAGGAGCAGGATCACGAGATGATGAGGGACCAGAGTTACGATGAACCTGCGGATGTTGGGTCCGGAGACGGTTCGGATAAGCCGGACGAGGAGGAAGAAGAAGATGGCTGGCATTCTTTCAAGTCCATGTCGGAGTCCAGCGAAGCTCCGGAAGAGCCTCCAGCCGAGACACCGTTCCCTGAACCCGACGAACCCTCGACCTCTACCTCAACCACCACTGAATCCACGTCCTTAGCATCGATCACCAGTGAAGCCTCGCAGGAGGTCACGATCTGTTCGCCCCAGGACTCGACTTGCCTAGAAAAGCCAAGCGAAAAGGACGAGGATATCGTATTCGACACCGACGAGAAGACGCCATCGAGGACGAAGTCGTTCACGGACGCTCTGTTCCAGCCAGACGAGGGTTCTGGGGACGAGGACGAAGCCTCTGGCGAGGGTTCTGGGACAGGCGCGATCTCCACTGATTGGAAGAAGACCGATGCAGACGACGGGAACACTGAGAAGGAAGAAGAAGAAGAAGAAGAGGGGACATTCTTCGGCATGCTGCAGACGCTGCGAAACGTCTTCTGGAGCACCACGGAGGCCATAGAGACCAAGAAGGACCTGGACCTCGCGGAGGAGCAGTTTATCGACGCGTCGGCGACCAAAGAGGCCGATGAGAAGATTATAGTCCCAACAAAGATTGGTTTGGACGAAGCGATTCCAGAAAGCAGCACCGAGAAAGTTGACCCTGGTGTCGACCTTATGACCGGCGAGCTGGACGACATGTCCAAGTCGGGAGACGTCAAGGTGAAAGACGAGGACTTGAACGAAGAAATGGCCGAAGTATCGCCTGCCAAACAATCGAAGAAAGGAATGGGATCCTACGTTGTCCTGGCTGCTCTGCTAGGTATCTTAGCTACCCTCATAGTGTTCGCAGCCTATAAAGGCGACTTTTGCAAGAAGAAGAGGAAACGCGGGGACGTGGAGAACGGTACCGAGATGAAGGACATGCAGAAAGCGCTTCTGGACACGGGGAATGCCCCGCAACCGAAGATAGCTTCCAATGGAACCGTCGAAAGTTTCCCTCTGGTCGAGGACGCGATCGATCACGAGAGTCGGGCGAGACCCAACAACCTGAACGTGGCGCCCAAGTCCCTGAACGGCAGCACGGACTGCATAGACCCGGTGAAACCACCCAGGAAGATCAACGACATATCTGGACTGGATGTGGAGTTGTTGCAAACCGAATCCGCTAGAGGTAGTCCCGAGGACCAACCAGTTGACCAGAGTGCTCAGTCTTCGGCGGGAAACGGACCGCCGTTGAGTCCAGGTGCTCAGAGAGTGAAGATCACCATGCAGGAGAATCCAGACAGCGTGCCCAAAACGCCCATACTCATCACGAGAACGATGGCTGGCGAGAATCTAGTCAAGACGCCATGAAGAAGTTGATTTGTTCGGATGGTTGGACGAAAGACAACGATATTATTTGGATTCACCCGTGAGCAACGGGGTAAAGTAACCTGAGCGACATAAATGAGATATCAGCATGATGTGTATATGAGTGTGTGTGTGTTTCGATTGGACGGATCGTAGTGTCGCCAGTGTTCCTCGGATCAATTATAAATGACCAAGTGAGACGTAGATTTAACCTCGAGTTTGTATTTTGAACACGAAATAGAACTGCCTTTAGTGGAATGATGAACGAGAGTTCGCTCATGTTAGTTGAGAACATTAAGGAGAGGAGAGGAGAGCGATTCCGTGAAACGAGATTGTTTGTACATATTTCCAGATTTATATTGTAATATGTTACATAATATATTAAATACTACGCGTATATACAGGACGTTGGACAGCAGGTGTCTGAAACTTCGAGGGTTGAATCCTCGTGTTGAAATGGAAAGAAAATGAAGAGGTCAAAATTTCACCTGTACCTGTTGTCGAACACTCTGTATATACAGGGTGTGCTAAAGTTGATGACCAAACTTTAGGTAAAAACATATATGGTATTCGTTAATGGAAGCAAGAAAGTGTTAGTACAGTCTTTGAGTCCCAAGGACGAATTTTATTTTATCTCAGTGGATAGATCTAATATTTATTTTATTTAAATACGTAGATACCAAATTTCAAAATTAAATTAAAAATTTTTAATTAAATTCCACGTTTACTAACGCTTTTTTAGTGATTTTTACGAGTATCATATTGCACCCAAAATTTGGACCATCAATTTCCAGCTCAGCCTGTATAAACTTCCGTTATTTGTACAAGATTTATGGATGAAAAATATTTGATACATTTTATATATGTGTATACAATATTAGCACACTAGTCAGTTTCCTTAAGGATCTTCCTTCTCGTGCAGGCTTGAATGACATTCAAGTGCGTCATGTTCCATTAGAATCCTCTGAACACGAAATGCATCGTTAATTAATATAATTTGAATACAAGTTTAACAATGCTGTAATGATAGAAGCACGCGTAATTAACGTTACGTTCGGTTGTCTTTAATGTTTCAGTGTTGACAGATCGTTAGAATTTTAAATGCCGTGCAGCTCTGATAAATAAATGAACGTTTAATTATCTCGCGCTGCATAAACGAGCGAATATTTGCCTTGACTAATGAGTCGGAGTTACGGCCACTATTTTCTCTATCGATTTCTGAAACGGAGACGTTGTCTTTTTCATCAATTTTATTTCGATCAGAAAACATACCAAGAAATAGAAATATACGACGAATAACGATTTTATTCGTGAATAACAAATAACGATTTCGCCGAGATCGTCTACATTAATCTGTAACGTTATTCGAATAAGAACTTTCGCGAATAACGGCCAACTCTGTGGCGAAGGCAAAAAGGAAAAAAGGAATTTGACTTTTGTTAGCGGAGCCCATCACTTAGTAACTAGATGAAAAGTTAATTTATACAAAGTTTCTACCGTATGAATTCACAATGAGCATTCCAAAATCAATCGTATCATCCTACTTCCCATTGCGCTGCGAACCTTTCGTGAAGGTGACGTAATCACTAATTGCATTCGTAACAAATTAAATAAATAAAAATTCTGGCAATTAGAGTATCAAGGATTTAAGTTTGTCAAATATAAAATTGGCAATATTTGAGTCCATAGTGATCGTGTGTAAAAATACCTGTACAAAAAATGTATAGCAACAGATATTCTTAAATAACGAATAATGTGCTTATCGAAATATATATTAACAATTTTGACGTCGTTTATTGTTGAAGGATTTGTTGCTAAACAGTCAACGAAATTATTCGTTATTTATTGGTTATTCACGCGAGAAACGTAAAAGTTTTTGCGATAAGTATGCTAAATCAGAACAGATTCTTTATAAGAAAAACCTTCTAAAAAAGACGTGCACGTTTTTGTGCACCGATTATTACATAATAGATTGTTCATTAAAGGCGCAGAAACTTTGTACGATCATTTCGTTTAATCAGCATTGAAAAAAAGTTATCCGTACCGATATCGCGATTATCATTGGAACGTTCGAGGGGGCGATTATTAATCTTTTATGATACCGTCGACACGTCATCTTTATTGCCGTCATTTAATTTGTTCCCTAGATAAATTGATCGTGCAACATTTACAGAGCAAACACTGCTACGAATAAATACTATCGCGGAGGCGCAGTCAACGTAATCGTACGAATAATATTTTTCAAGTGTTTATAATTTCAACCTTGAATGCGAAATAAAATATTAATATTTACCCGACGAACCTTTACCTCGAAGGCCATCCACCTATCAAGGTATTATTACTAAATTAAACTGACACCTTAATAATTTTTAATAAATATATACATAAAACCGGTTTTACGGTTTTTGTAAATATTGGAGAATGTTATTAGGAACAATGATACTGTGGGTGTCTAGTGTTTGCTTGATGATGTTGATCGTTACTTAAGAGGTTAATATGTTTGTAGTTACAGCATGTTAACGGTCTATCAACATTTTATCAAGTTTATGTATTAAAGCAATCAGGGTAAACGATATGCTGATACGATCGAATAGTTGCTCGCTGTGTATAAAGTCGACGTTAATCGGTTCCAGGTAAGCGTGAAATTACTGTAATTTTATAGTTATACGATTTCCTTCTTACAGTGATTTAATTCTGTTTAAAATATCCTATCAGGAATTACAAGATACCACAATCAAGTTATTTCCATTTTTCTTTACAAGAAGAATTAGGGATACAAAAGATTTTCCGAAAGAGATTTAGGATTTTGTGTTTTAATAAAGGATTTTGTGGTATGGAATACATTTATTTATTTTAAATGAAAGTAATAATTAAACGTGAATGATGATGTTTACGTGACAGACTTGTTGTGTTGTTTAAAAACACGTGAAGAGAAATGAATTAACATAACGATTGCACTGTAACAAAGTTCTCAAAACTTCCCTCGACTTGACAAAGCAGTTCAATAATTGCAAACCCTTGCAGTCTAAAAGTTCATTTAATCTGTCAAAACCACGAAAACCGGTATAAGGCAGTGTTCACAATTTTTGGAACTTCCATCCCCCTCAATCGACGCGATAAACTCCAGTTAGGAAATTTTATGAGACATTAAAGCGTCGGTGAATCCTCTAGCAGTCCTCCTAAGGATAATTATCAGGTTGTCCCAAAAGTTTCTTTCGCAACTTACGCTCAGTTGTTATATAAATAGACAATCTTATCTCTCAGTAGTTAGAATGTTCGCATATAATTCAGTAATAAAATATAAAACATAAAATATTACGTATATGCTACTTATGAATAAAACGAAAAGAAACTTTTAGGACAACCTAATAGCGATGTTCATATTCAGCGCATAATCTCCAGACGCAATGTAACTCGCGTTAGGGTCCGAGATCGCGCATTGTCGGATATAGATAAACATTGACGACTAATAGGTCAGGAATATCAAAGTGTAACAATTTTTATTTCACGAATTCCTCGAGGGCAATTAAATCCACCCGCAGTTTACGAACTCTTAGGTGTCGTGGTCCACCGCGGGTTCTCTGTAACCGCTTTTGGGTTCCCTTCGAAGTTCCCTAATGACCATGGATCTGGTGGACTGGTATCGCGGAATGTCGGAATCCTCATCGTCGGATGAGTGACCGTCGTAAACCGTGCGTCTTCTTCTTTTTTTCTTAGCACTAGGTGTCTGCGGCCTGGTTCGAAGCTTCCCGGTTGAAGAATCCACAGAATCGCTTAGCATGCTGTGTCTTCTGGGTTTTCGCGCCACGGAGGTCCTGGAAGTCGTTTGGCTGACAACCTGTGGTACCTCAGAGGCTACGTTACTAACAGATGCGTTTATTTCCCTCTTAATTCTTTCTTGTCGACGTCCCTCCCTCCTCAGCAAATCGTCCTCGCTGTAAATCCTCGTCTTTATCCTCCTAGTTCTCCTCTGCTTCGTCCTCAGGTTGTCAGCGGAACCCATGACGCGAACGGATGATGTATCTACAGAGATTTCGTCCAGGTTGTCCAGAGAACGAGCCAGTCGCGGCATCTGTATGGCCTCTTCGTAACTGGGAGGTCCTAGTAACTCCAGCGGATGGATTCTGGGCTCTGGTTGACGTTCGACGCGTTCTTCTTGTTGTCGTCCAGTATGAACCCTGTGGAACACGCATCGAATAAAAGTATTTGCTTCGTAAAAAGTGTTGCAATAGATTTTTTGATTTTTTTTTTTTTTTATAATATGGATTTTTATGTCTTTTGGAATACTGTAGGTAACTTCTATTGCCTCTGCTGGTAACATTGGCACCTCGAAGTCAGGAGTGTGCTTGGGTAGTACAGTATTCAGGTAAGATAGGTTTCTTAGTTATTCTGTGTGGGTAATATCGTATACTGTATGTACCTCATAAACTACATTACCAACATTATTTCAAATAGTATTATTTTAAACATGTTCTAGGTATAACATGATCCAGGTAGAAAGGATTACAAGATACTCAAGCAAAATTCATTGATCCCTACCTCCTTTGTCTGAGCAGTCTCAGTGCCTCCAGCTGTTGTCTTTGTTCTATGGCCCTCCTCTTGATTCTCATCATGTGCCTGATGGAGACGAAACTTCCGAATAGAACTATGAGAGTGAGAATGATGATCAGCACGAAGCCCCAGGACCTGTCTTTGTTATAGTTGAAGGGTCCATTCCAGGCGTCGAAACAAGCACTCTCCCAGGAGTAACCTGACATGTTCGCTGGAGTCTGGCAAATCAAACTCGTCGACAAAGTCTTGGCAGGCAATTCCGTCAGATAATTGAACAAGTGGGCCAATTCCTTGCAGTCGCATCGCCAAGGATTGTCCCCTAGTTTGATGATGTTCAAGCCTGGATTGTTTCTAAAAATGTTTGGACTCATAGCTTCAGTCAGACGGTTTCCTGAAAACGTATGGAGAGGAGGTTGAGCGAGCAGGTTTTGGCAACCGATTTTTCTAAGATGCTGAAATTTCGATGATTTCAGTGCCAGGAATGGAGACTACATTGGATGGTGGAGGACTACATTGGATGCCAGGAATGAAGACCAGAGGATTCGAAGATGGCAGGTATGCAGATTGTACTAAGAGATATTCAAAGTTGTCTAGAATATACTACAGCATGGATTTCGATGTTTTCAGGTTTCTAGGAATGAAGACTACATTCCTCCACATCTCAGCATCAAACATTACGATCTTTAAAAAATAAATGCGTCACCTGATAAGTCAATTCTTATGAGTTGAGGCAGTCGAAGGAATGTATTATTATCCACTTCCACCAGTCTGTTCCGTCGCAGATCCAGGTTCTTCAACGTCGTGGATACCAAGGGGGATGGTATCGTTTCCAATCGATTCTCAGTCAAGATGATGCTCTTTATTTTCGGCATGCCCGTCAAGAAGTTCTGGCTGAGCTTGCTGATTTGATTCGACGACAAGTCCAGCGTCGTGACAGCCGACGTGAGGTTTGGAAATTCTTGTAAGTTGTTGTAGGACAGATTCAGCTGCTTCAGTTCTATGTTCTCGTGGAACGTTAGGGGATCAATCGTCTCCAGGTTGTTGGCTGACAGGTCCAACACTTGGAGCTTCACCAGGCCTTCGAACGTGCTCGCGTTCAAACTTTCGAGGCTGTTCGTGTTCAAATATAGGAAACCTAGTTGTCTGTTTTTAGCGAAAATGCGATCGGGCAACAGCCGAATACTGTTGCGGGTTAATCGAGCGTGGACCAGCGATGGGAGTCCGTGGAGACCTGGTCTGTCCAGATTGCACCTAGACACGTCCAATCTCTTCAGATTTGAATGGGTCAGCGTCTCGTGTCTGGAACGAGACACGATTGGGCATCAATCATTATGTTTCATGTATCCAAGTTCTGCGATTGCAGAATTTTTATAACGAATTTTTATACATTTAGACATAGGTTTTGTAGTATATATTGGACATGAAAAATATTCTTTCAAAAATTCATCTTCCGTGTTTGTCGGATATTTTCATTTACGATAGACTTTGAATTCCTTAACTAGGTTTAATTTATTTTTTAGCTACGACATATTTTGATCGGAGTTTTGTTCGGTTACCTGGTACTGTAGACTAACGTGGGATTGTTGGCCATCCGAAGCTCTTCAAGCTCTGGAAATCCGCTGAAAGTATCGGGACTTAAGAAATTCAAAAGGCAGTCGGACATATCGAGCCACCGTAGTTTTGGACTCCGTGCTTTCTGAATGAATTTCAAAGGGTTTCCTGTCAAGCTTAGTGTCGTTAATGCGGGAAGACCGTCCAGAGATGTATTACTAAATTCTCGTATTTCTATCGAATGAAAGCGCATTAAAAAAGTTAGTAACGTTCGTCAAAGTGTATATTCTGCTGCGAAAATATTCGTCGAAAAATGGACCATTTGTTAAATCGTACAGAAGTTTACTTTAACCCTAGAAATTATATTTTGGATATTTTTTAGATAGAATTGCATTAATAATAAATAGAATGAAACACTGTCTTACCGCAATGAGTGACGCTCAAAACTTCGAGTCCATCGTTTTCCAAATCCTCCAAGCTGGATAACGGATTCTTAGATAGGTAGAGAAACTTCAGGGCCGGCAGTTGCCTCACAGAACTAATGTCAACTATCGTGTGTATTTGGTTCCAGCTCAGGTCCAACTTCTTTAGGTTCTTCAGGTTACTAATGTCCTCGGGCAACGAACTCAGCCTGTTCTTGGATAGAATCAGGTACTGCAGATGTATCAATCGATTAATGTCACTCGTGATATCCGTTAACAGGTTGTTCGATAAATTTAATTGCTCCACCTAAAATGCGATAAAAACAAGCTCGTTCAACAAAAAAATCTATTTCACCTTCAGAATCTACGACTGTGAGGATTGAATTTAAATTTGGCAACACAAAGGCAATATACTCGTGAATTATACTCGTCGATTATAAATTGATTTTACTTCACGTAGAATCTCAATCATAATTCTCCATTCAAAATGTTTTCATGGGGAATTCTCAGTTTAAACGAATCTATGAACATTTTTAATGTAGAGAATTCGATAGAAATTCTCAATTTAAACAATTTCCTTCTATTCAACTATGACTCGTTCTAACGATGACTCAAAAATGACTGTATTCCTTTGTTAAATCTATTCCATTGTCACCACACTTTGGAACAAATATATTGTACACTTTGGAATTGATATTCGCGTGCATAAAAATACAACAGTGATTCACAATTAATCTCACGAGGATTATCATAAACTAACGATTCATCAGAAAATGATACTTCTTCATACCCGCAGGGTAATCTATATTGCTCCAAGATCCTGTAAAATGCTATTCAGGCGACAATTTCAATTTCTACAAAACGTTCATTAATTTTCTTATTCCCAACGATAAATGGACAAGATTGCCTCGCAGTATTCTTAGCTATTCAAGTTATCTGTTAGATACCAGTGTCTTCCTTCGCTGTTTCATTTATACAGTGACTCAATCCCATTCAGAATTTCAGCAAACGACGCGATAAAGTACTGCAAAAATGTCTGCCAAGCAGCCATCATGCTAGTTCACTCCAAGTAGCGTCCTACGAGTGCCGAGATCTTTCATGCTCAAGAGGATCGGACAAAGATGTAAGTAACAAGTGCAATTATGTTGGGGATATCGTTAAACAAATGCAAATGGTCAAAATACTAACGTTGACTATTGTATTAAAATTATCACTGAATTGAGGTAATGGCTTTCGAGGCTTAGGGGTTCAGGCATAAGCCTGTACTCAACTTCAGGATGAACAATGAATAATTATCACGACAGGAAAGGGAAGTTTCTAAAGAATCTACATAGTCAACTAAACTTGCTCTTATGGTTATCACAAACAATGTTTCTAAGAATCTAAATATTAACTTGGAGGTTTCGTCAAAATTTGTTGAAAACAAAAATATTAGCTAAACTTTTCTGTACCTCTTTTTCCTATTCTGAGAATATAACTACAGACCTCACAGTGCCTGTTACCCAGGGACTCGCTAGACCTAACTCCAGCACTGAACTGTTGAAGCAGGTTAGCTGCTGCTAACCATCGTGCTCAAACCAGGGACGTCTCTAACGATTTCCACCTCTGGAAGGTCCCTAAAAACTAATTTCAAGCAACCTGACCCACCTAGCCACATAGAACATTACAATTCTCCGATGCCTACTCAACAATGAATTAACATTCTTCCTGACGTTCAAACAGCACATTTACTCGAACTGGACGTGTCCTATGCGGTCAGCTGACTCGACCATGTTGCAAAGTGAAACGTTTTTCGATTTGTCGTAGCAGGCTGAACTCGTCGGAGCCCGCAGTTTACTCACAACGCTGCTGATATTTTCGGGGAACGCTTCGAGGCCCTGTCTCGCGCACATGACAGTTTTCGGCTGTTGGCCCAAGTGGCAGGAGCATCTCCTCGGGCAGACGGTTTGGCAGACCGCCGAAGTGAGCAGAACCGAGAACGTGGCTGCTAATGTGACCAAACACCTGCCCGTCGTAATCCGTTTCTCCATGTTCACTGCTATCGGACACGATCCCCATGGAAATCACATTTTCATCGAAACGAAGACACTGGGTAACTCGATCCACTCGATTTACGTTAGTGGTCACTCATGTTCACTTAACGTCAGCGATTGCGTAACGCGCGAGATTGACCACGGTAATGGCGTCTCTTTTTTCCCCTCTTTTTCAGTGAAAAAGACGGCTTTGGCCTAGGATCGATGGCCCCGACAGTGCTTGGAACCGTCCTGAAAACTACTGAGTACTTATCTTTGATAAGTAACGCGGGATATGCCGCACGATATCTCAGCAAGATAACTCGACCGCGCGGCGAGGTGAGAGCATTATTCCCCGCCGCGAACGAAAGAATTGGATAGGTAATATATATGGAGAGAAGTGCACCTGTCGAATGTTTGAAAATTGACAAACTCGGTGACCTGTTACAGGGGGCGGACGGGTGTCCGAGCTGGAAATTGGTGGTTTATTCGTTTTTAAGAAGGTACGAGTGGATCGGAAATCGCGATTGATGGACTTTGGTGTTATCTAGTAAAGCTTTTACTATATAGGTATACACAAGTACATATATAAAGGTAGAATTTAAGATGTTAGATACTCTGTTTGTTTAAGTGAGACTATCCGTTTTACTACGCTCTGTTTTTGTTAGTAATTCGGCTTGTGTAGAATTTTATTTTGGTGTAAAATCAATATTAAATTCTAAATGAGCTCAATTCGTAACAAAACTGTACAATTTATTTTACGTTTGATCATTCTTTAATTATTCAAACAGGCGTTCAAAATATTCACAAATAATTTCTTTGAACTTGAATCACTTATCAATGAATCTGTCCCATCTGACCCGCTTATAAGTTACTTTCATCGTTAGTTGGTGTACCTACGTATATTTCTGTATTTCACGAGTAGCGAGCAACGCGAGAAAAAATCGCGTCAACCACGATTGCGAGGGCGTGACCTAACGCGCGACGTGGAACTCCGGATTTGCAAAATCTCGGCGAAGGGGTTGGTTTAATATCAACAGGTAGAGGTAGCGTGTCCTTGTCCCTACTGGATAAGCCGTTGGCTAAGCGCCGGCGCTGGCTAAACCGCTCGCACCCTCCCGAGAGGGTGTGACCTATCATCCCTATTGGACCAACCGGACGTGTGAAAAAGAGAGAGACACAGTCCTGCGCGGATAAGGCCTTTTTAAATCTACGGACAGGAAGGGTGGAGCCCTTATCTCGCCCCTGGCTGCTCTGTGGTCAGAGGGCAGTTCGTTGTTCTCCGATTCCACACCTGGCAGTATGTACTCCGTACGTATTAACTCTGTTTATCGTTAAATAGAAAATTATGAGTACGTACAATGCGCTATGGAATGTTGGGAAAATTACTGAGAATTGATTTTCTTTTTTAAAAGAAATTTCCTATGCTCGGTAACCTCATATTAACAAAATACATATTAACGAAATTCACGAGGTCTCGTGTTCCATTAGAAATCTTCTTGCTGAATTATGATTTGTTCTAATATTGATATTCCTGTCACCGGTGTTTAGATACGCCTTATCGCTGTAATTCCGAGCCGTGGTTGACCCATCCACTGAGAAGTCCTCAGACACGGTCCTGTCGGATCGAAGCAACGATAAAAAGAGGTCGTAATACAGCGGGAGTGGTTGGGGAAAGGAGAAAATATCCGCATGGGTCAGCCAAGAGAGACTTAGACCGAAGAGATGGCCGCCTCAATATCGGCTTTCCGGATACTTGAGGTATTTATCTAATGCCTTATATTTTCCACTGGACTGCCCTGTTCGAATTTCAATTCGCGTTTTCGCTGAGATTCGCATGCGCTTCTTCGCTGCAAACCCTCTCTTCGTTCTTCATTTTCAAACCGATAGGAACATATCACAGTTATGTTAGATCACCACGTATATTCGTGCTGTAGATCGTGTTTCTTATAAATACTATTTTTACAGGAACCTCCTAATTAATTGTAGTATATCGACTTCTCTTATTTGAGCATTACTTCAGAAACGTGAGAAAAGATTGTCGGTATGCGTCGATTACATTTTTTCATAACATTTAAATGTATGTTTCGTATATCAATTTGAACAGCAGAAGTGGCTTGAACTCGTGGGGGTGACCTAATAAATTATACACGTACCGAGAGGGCAGAATTTCAGTGGTCGAGAAAAAAGAACCCCGGAGTCACGATGCTGGTTACTCGAAGGCATCTGTGTGCGGGGGTTTGATTATCACCCTGTATCGATTTCCCATTGCTGATTTTAAAGCGCCGTCGACGGCCACTGCAGCGGGTTGTTGTAATTAAAAGTCGATAAAGTTGTATACCCGAGAAATACGAGCGGTGGCGCGAATCGTAAAATTCGCGTCGATACATAATATTCGATATCCAGGATAAATAATATTTCAGGTGGACAGGCGTGAAATCGTAACTTTGTGTTTATGAATTGATGGGGGATGGGAAGGATCTAAGAAGAGCAATTGAAAGCGAAATGGAAGGATGGTCAGTACTTCTTGTTATTTCTAAACATGATTCGTATCGTATAGTCTAATTTTGTCATCGAGTACAAGAGTCTTTGACGAACAATAATAACTAATTCTCTTTTGCTTGTTGAATTTATCAAGAATAGGAATCTGAAGCCCTCTTGAATTCTACTCGTAAGAGTTAAGGGTTCTTACTTTTAAGAACCTCTTCTCTAGGGTTTTCGTTCCCAACGCCTGAAACGTCTTCAAGATATCTAACCCATCGCTAGGGCTCTTTAATATCTATAACCTCCTAGGTCACCTTCAACCCTCGAAAGCAAAATTTTTATCAAAACTAGTTTTGAGAGTTCTCAAGGACCTCGCAAGACCTTTAACTTTTCCATCCCAGCGAAACCCAAAACAACACCAAAGGTGTCCAACCTGTGGCACAAACGATCAGCAAACATCTTTCTCCAAGGCTGATGCGGAATAACACGTTGCAACAGAGGGTTAACGATTCGAGAACACGAAGGGGGAGTAATTTTACCGGAGCGTCTCCCGGTGTGAAATCAGACGTTGCAGCGAAGCTATTGTCCTCTTCGAAGGCAGGTGGGTTGGGAAAAATTCATCGTGCGAACCAGCTATCGAGGCCCAGCTGTGCTAAACAGTCGCTAGGAGAAGATATAACGTCGCTACTATCTGCACCCTTGGGGTAGACTCTGGCCCCGTACGTCTACGTGCACAGCACTCTTTCTATATATTTTTAACGCCTTCATTTCCGGTCGCGTTGGGACACCGGAAATAGCGGGACGATACCTCGCGGTGTTTCAGGTATTGATCAGTTCGAGGACTGGGTACCACCCACCCGTCCCGTGGAGGGGGTGGGACGAGGCGGTGGGAGAGGGTTGCACACTCTGCAGCCTGGAGGTTTCGACCCCTGCAACCGATCCCCCTCCATTTCGCCCTCCCCGACGGGCATCGGCGTCTCTCGTGACGCCCCCGTCCGCCTACGCCGACCCTCAACCCCCAAGTCACCCTCTCACCACGGCCCCCCAACCGCCAACGAGCCATCGAAGACGAATCTTTAGATATCTCTCCGTCGTCTCCGCTTGGATCCTCCGGGTTACGCTCGGGTAGGCCGCGAGGAAATAAAACGGGAACTAGTTTGCATCGGTGTCGTCGCTTTGCGAGCTTCTTCCCCGAACCTCGGAGGAAATTCGGGGGATTTACCGGAGCCGCTTCTTGGTCTGTTTAATTGGAAACGCTGCTCGGAGGATCGGAGACTGTAACCGTCGAGCGGGATGGTTGTTGTTTCGAGTATTGTTGATTTGGATTTTCTGGGCGCGATGGATTTTAAGGGAATCGGTTTGGAGGGGTAGCTTGGAATGGGGGTAGTTGAGGATTAGGTAGATTAAACTGCAGTTGACCTGTGAGTAGCTTAAAGATTCTAGTCGTAACGTTCTTGACAAAAATTTTCCAACAAGTTTTTAAATACACAACACACGTCCGTTACTTCAACTTAAAACCACCCTACAGTAAAACTGTCCCAATATTTGACCCAGTCCAACGATCGAGTTACTCAGTCATCCTCCGTGCCAGAAACGGAAAAGGATACATTCCGGTGGGGGGTTGTACACCAGAGCATCGAGATTTGAAAGTGATTTTATTTTCCCTAAAGCAACCCCCGCCCCCGCTGCGGCCCTTACGCTCGGTTATAAATAACAGCTTATCTTTTGTCGGCTTCAACGCCACCACGACTCTGTACAAAGCCAAACTCCGCTCCCTGGCGACCCTTCCCGCCACCTTTTATGCCTTGTAAGGGGTCGCGCGAAAGAAGACGTCTTTCGAAACGTGCGCCCGTAATTGCTATGGCATGTATCCGAATTAAATCCAGCGGTTTGTCGCGTGGTCGTTTACGCATCGGGAATCTCGCACAGGTTTGCGCAATATTCTATTCGGTGAACCCTGGGAGGATTATTTCAGGGATTATTCTAGTCTAGGACATTCGTAAATCGATTTTTGTTTAGGTATTCACATTATACTTGTACATTACATTATTGAAATAGTTTGTTTTTGAGTCATCGTAAGCCCTTTGTAGGTCCAGTAGAATGTGGCGATCATAGTCAGACTCGGCGCCTGTATGCAGGCAAGCTCCATGCAGCAGCGCATTCGTTAGTTTCTGAGTCTGTGCATAAAGTTCACTTGACCATTCTACTGTTTCAGTAGAAGTCTTCGAAATCAATCGAAGAAGCTTGACTAAATTAAATAATAGTTTTGATATGATCAAATGAACTTTTCCTTTAATAGATCTAGACGGTACGAATATTTACGGGACTGACTCTATGTCATGCAAAACAAAACACGTCCCAATTTCTCCAGAATTAATTCCTCAAGGCTATTCCCAGTAAAATAAAAGAATACTAAATACGGAATACTAAATACCATCGCCTAAATACTCGTAGCGGTGCTGAACACCGTCACTTTTAAAATTTCTTCATCGACACCCACCATCGCTGCTACAACGCGGAACTAGCTTAAGTGT